AAAGTGTCTTCTTTACCGACCAAACGACGAAAGAAGAACTCCGTGAGATAGCTGTCGAAATGGATCGAGATGGATCCTCGCTGAACTTTGTTGATCTGTGTAATTGGTTGTATAAATTGGAAAACGTCTGTGTAATCGAATGTGTACCTTTCTTTCTCATAAAATAACTCAAAGTCATTGATTTGTATCCTTTTTCTACACTTAACATTAAGTAAAGTAACGTGAAAAGACTGTTTTTATCGACTTTTGTTTTGTGTGACATCCTGTGAGCAACTAAGCCATAAACCAAAAAGAGATAAGAGACTAGGAGACTCTATCTACACAAAACAAAATATTTCTATTCACAAAAATTTCACCATTACCACTTTTCCTTTTTCTACTGTACATATATTTGCCGTTGAATTCGATCAGCTGATCAGGAATGTCATCTTTACAAGTGAGAAAGAATTCGATCGTTTTCAGATTTTTAAGTCAACACCCATTTCGTGGTGTGATTCACTAAATGATTCCGAATAAAAGAAGGAAAATATAGTTAAGTGAACACGTGGATTCTTTAGATTGCCTTCAAAATTCACAGCTTTTCTTTTATTTATCACGAAAGTTTATAAATTACCGCTGTTTTCCTGATAAACGGAGTGCCTGTTTTCGTTTAATTTTGAAATTCAATTAACTTTTGCACACAATGATTACAGCATTAAGATCCCTTATAATTTCACAAATAAGAACTCAAATTTGCTTGATATTTTATAGTATAGCTCTGATTTTGAAAATGTCCTATTTCGTGATTCGGGTCCACTAGTAAAATAAGAGAAAAAAAAGCGAAACTTTCGATAAGAGAAAACGACTGGCCGATATGATTTTGGCCGACGGCTGAAAATTTACGTATCGATTTCTCAATTCGTCTAAGATATTTCATTGCATATATGCAATATATATTCATTGCACACTGCCAGCTCTGCAAAAGACAAGATCTTTTCCATTTGCTGCTTACTCATTTCACGAATGAATGTTTTTTAGTCTGGAATGTTTTTTAGACGTCAATAATTGACTATTTAGAAGATTTATCATTCAAATCACATTCATTATGTTAATATTCTGTGCTTAAACACAGAATATTAACATAATGAATGTGACTTGAAAGAAGAATTAACTGTTCACTGTTTGCAGTTAAATGCAGATTCGTTCAAATAAAATTGCGCCAGAGTCACATGTACCGAGAAAACATTTCACAGTTTCACAAGAAAATTTAGATTTCGAATCAATATGAACGAAATTTGAACGAAGAAAGGAAATCCTTCAGAAGAAAAACGACAACGATACTTGAAAGAAGAATATTTTCCCCAACTTTTAAATATCTATTTATAAGTTTTGTCTTAATTTGTCCGTCAAATGCTTTTTCATTCACACAAAGAGATTCACGATTGGAAGGATGTGAAGGAAAAGAAAAGAGTTGTGAGTTAACGATTTCAAAACTATTGAATCAAATTGGCAACTCAAGTAAAACTTGATTTAGATTTTAAAATCATGGCTATTGTTTTCCCCATTACTTTTTGTTTAACTAAACTTTCTTCACAAACAATTTTTATCTTATTTTTGTCAGTCTTTCAAGTTTATTTCATTCAATTGACACCAATTTTTTTCTAAACAAAATTCTTTCTTTTGGTGATAAGGATCATGAGTGCTCAACAAAGACTCTTTCAGAAATGCCAGTTCTTAGAACAAAGAGGGCTTTGATAAACTCAAAATCAATAGAGATCATAAAATTGTCAATTTCAGGTGCATCAACATTTTTTGTCTATTGGACGTGTTGTCATGGGGATTGCTGCTTGCATTTACAGGTAAATGGATGTTGATTGGGTGATGATTATTGTTCAAATCAATCTTCAGCCAGGCCCCTATCTCATCTTGTGGATTTTCGTGATTATCGTTCTCATTGCATGCTGTTGTTGCTGTTGTAGGTGAGGTTGCAAAAGAAATGAGGATACCATTCGTTAGCTATGGGCTTGAACTCATGAAATTTTCGTGTTTTTCCGTGAATTACTCTTCAAACTCAATCCACTTTTCAGATTTTGCTGCTGCAACAGGCCACGGAAGCCATACCAACCGAAATTGCCTTATTAAAAACTGGAAGTATATTTGGATAAAGAAAAAAAAAGAAAAGAGTGTCTAGGATTGTATTCGAGTTATCAATTATTTGATGAAATTTTCTTTCTACATTTTAAACACAGAAATGCTAAAAGTTCTAGTGCAAAGGAAATCGGCAAATAGAAGAGATACAATGTTTTCACAATTAAACTTTTTCTGGAGCAACCAATTCAAATGACACCAACATAAGCCAGAGCTCAAGTACTTAAAAAGATATTAATACAAAAGATATGAGACGTTTGGGGACTAATCATATACTGGGGTCCAATGTCTTGGAATCAAAATTTCTATGTAAAGCACAAATGATCAGTAAAATCCACCCCACCGCGTACTTCTTTTCCATCAAGGTCACCCTTTTTATATACAGTGATCAAAAAAGTCTACCTTTCATCCCTTTAAAAAAAAGAAAATTGAGTATCCAAAAAATATTGGATTCAGCACGTTTTTGTTTCATTAGATAAAACAAAGTTAGAAACTTATAATTAACATCAAATATACTCTTTATAAAAACTATTTATGTACAAAAAATAAAAAACTGCAAAAAAACAAAGCAAAAAAAAGTCTTGATACCTTTTCTCTTTTTTTTCTCCTGTTTTTGTTAAGTTAGAGCTTTGCTGATTTTTCTGATATGGTTTCTTTTTAGTGATGCCGTGCAAGCAATACATCGACAGTCCCACAAAGGAGCGAATAGTTGAAGCTCGAAAAGTTGAACTCAAAGTCAGTGTGATTCAAAACCTCTTCTCCGTTTTGAAGATGTTTTGATGATGACTCTGCAATCGGATGAAAGGGCATGGAAATGTGCACCGATCAAAGAAAAAAGGCCAACAACCAAAAACAAGATCTCGACAAGACCGGGCACTTCATCATTTCTTCGCCTCAATTCCGGGTTTTACAGCCACAGACGGGAATAGTTACTTAAAAAGGGAATTTGGGATTCATGTAACTTTGCAAACGATTCGAAATCGACTAAAATTTCTCGGGTTGTTTTCACGACGACCTGCTCGTAAACCTATGATGGTTTTTAGACACAAGAGGCTTCGTTTGGAATTCGCCCGCACCTACCAACATTGGTCGATCGATGACTGGAAACGTGTCTTGTGGAATGATGAAACTAAGTTCAATTTGTTCAACAGTAATGGCAACTACACCATTAAGAGATCCACTGGAACACGATACAACTTGAAATACATTCGACAGATTGTCAAATTCAATGGAGGAGGGATACTGTTGTTGGGGCTGTTTTTCTTCAAACTCAGTCGGACCTCTGGTGTCCATAGATGGAATCATGGACAGTGTGAAATATCGAGATATGATGCAAAATGATATGCTTCCTTACGCAAATGTAGCAATGAGTCCAAAATGGCTGTACCAGCAGGATGGGGATCCAAAACATACAAGTGAATTGATGTTGGGACGAAAACTGAAGGTCCGACCCGGAGTTTTCGTGAGGTTTTTGCCCCGGCTGGTTTCGGCTCAACAATGTTAATTTGCTGCGAACACCACCCTATTCGCCGGATTGTAACCCTATTGCACATTAATGGGTGCATGTCATACGAAAATTACAAGGATTCCGCTTTGTGTCAAAAAATGAGCTTTGGGACAAGGTTCAGTCTATTTGGAGCTCAATCTCACAACGAACCACGGAAAAGTTGATCGCAAGTATGCCAAACTGACTTCAGGAGATTATAAAAGCTAAAGGAGGCGCAACACGATACTGAATTTTGTTAGAAATAAATAACTTTTGAAAAGGTATCAAGACTTTTTTTGCTTTGTTTTTTTGCATTTTTTTATTTCTCGTAAATAAATAGTTTTTGTAAAGAGTATATTTGATGTTAATTATAAGTTTCTAACTTTGTTTTATCTAATGAAACAAAAACGAGCTGAATTCAATATTTTTGGATACTCAATTTGCTTTTTTTAAAGGTATGAAAGGTAGACTTTTTTGATCACTGTATGTAAAAAGATGGAATTATGAAACCTTGATGGAAAAGAAGTACGCGGTGGGGTGGGTTTTACTGATCATTTGTGCTTTACATAGAAATTTTGATTCCAAGACATTGGATCCCAGTATATGATTAGTCCCCAAACGTCCCATATCTTTTGTATTAATATCTTTTTAAGTACTTGAGCTCTGGTACTAACTTAACAAAAACAGGAGAAAAAAAAAGAGAAAAGGTATCAAGACTTTTTTTTGCTTTGTTTTTTTGCAGTTTTTTATTTTTTGTACATAAATAGTTTTTTTAAAGAGTATATTTGATGTTAATTATAAGTTTCTAACTTTGTTTTATCTAATGAAACAAAAACGAGCTGAATTCAATATTTTTGGATACTCAATTTGCTTTTTTTAAAGGTATCAAAACTTTTTTGATGTTTGTATGTTTTCTTTCTTCAGTTTCATCAGTTGATTAGTTAAATTTCTCTCACTATTAGATGTAACACAGATGCGTATTACAATATTTATTTGCAATTTATCTTTCCCATCGAAAACTCACATTTAATCTCCAGAGAAAAAGTCCAAATGATTAGAGTTGATCCGAATTGCACCAGAGAACAAGCAATCACATGAGCGCCAAATCCTTATAGCGCGCTCCTTCCACTTTACTACCGTACCCCAAAGACTTAGAGTCTGAAAATTTAGAAATTCCTAAATTTTTCTTTTTGGAAAAGCCGCAAAAGTCTCCAGTTTTGACCTTTAAAAATAAATTTCCTGTCAAATAATATTGTTGTTAACTTTTATTTTTTCTTTATGTTTAAGTGCAATAACTTATTTACCTTTTATTATTTTAGGGGTTCGCTTCCCCATTGTAAAGTGGAAATAATTCTTTGAACGTCTTTGTACAAAGCTTTTTTTCATGATGAACGAACACTGGACTTCTGGATGGAATATGAGCAATAATGGTTTGTGATTTACAGATTTTTTTACGGACAATTGCTTTTTTTAGATGCTGTGCCGATTCCAATTCCAAATGGTGGCATGAGCCCGGGTAATTTCGCATCACCAAGGAGTGAATCGTATGGAGGTGGTTCGTTGTGTCGTCAAGTGGCCGAGACTATTCTGAGTGGATCACCGGCAACTCCAAAGGCCCCCGAAGCTTTCAGGATTGCTGATAATTGGTAAGTGGCTTTGTAGCAATAATTGCTTACTTAATTAAATAGAACAAGTTTACCGAGTAAAGCAGAAAGTCCAATAAGAAATTTTGTGCTAAACATTCTGCTACAACGTAGAAATTGAAATGTTGAATGTTGAACTTTCCGAATGTACTAGTGAATGTTTAGCTTCCCGATGAAAAGGGTGATTGCTCAACGGGCCGAACCGCAACCACAAATGCTACTCTCATCAGGAACCCCAGAGTTTCAGGTATTTGAAGTTTGCTTTATTATAATTTATAAATTTTGTTTAGCCTTTCTTAAATACAATGGCTGAAGCTGGGATGGCTCCTCCACAATGGAATTCAATGCTTGCTCAAACTACTCAAGGAGTACAACAGCCACAGCAAATTCAATCACAGCTCTCGCCGGTTCTTCAGATAGCTCCCGGTTTGCTTGTTTGTGCTTAAATTCATGCAAGTATTATATAGATATCTCATCGCCAACGATTTATCCGCCATCACCGCCACCTATGCAATCACTTTTGACGAACAATGTAATGCCTAATGGAGCTGTAAGTTAATTTTTTTCCTGCGTAAAGTGTTGCTTGTTTAGGCTTTATCAAAAACTATGTTGATGCAGGCTCAACAACCGCAAATACAATTTCCAAATATGATGGCAAATCCATTGCAAAGTGGGTTTTGCTAACTTTATTTGTAATGGCTAATTTTAGTGATGCTAGCCACTCAACAATTGATGAGCATGAACCCTATGCTTCATCCACAGCAGCAACAACAATTGCTGGCAACAACACTACAGCTAAGTAAGTCTCGGATTTTTAAAGCCTTTTATAAAATAACATTTTACGATCGTTGCTTTAGCAAATCAAATGCAAACGCAACTTTATATTCAACAGCAAATGAGTCAACTGAATGGCAATTCAAATCTGCTTTCACTGCAAACTGGATTATCACCAGCAATATCACAAGCAGCACCGAATCCGTTTCTTCTCAATTCGATGTCTAGTCCGAACAGAACGTATGTTAACGTTTCTCAGTAATTTATTTGGTAAATTTAGAACTCGTCAGCAGCCACGAAATTTGCTTGGAGACACGATTTCACCACCACTTAAACAGAATTTGATTCTTGAAGAAATCAAGAGCAATCGTAATCCAGCTTTGTCGCTTCGTGATGTTGCAGCTTATGTCATCGAGTTTGCAAAGGATCAACATGGCTCAAGGTGGTATTTTGCTTATTATGTGGTTAAAACGTGGTTTTTAGATTTATCCAGCAAAAGCTTGAGTCAGCTAGCCCTTCGGAAATGCTCATTGTTTACGAAGCCATTCAAAAAGACGGAACAATGTTGATGACAGATGTTTTTGGTAACTACGTCGTGCAGGTATGTTTATTTCTAACTACAATACATTATTTTTGTTTTAGAAGTTCTTTGAAAAGACTAACGATGAACAACGAATCGGTCTTTGTCGTATATTGAAGGGTAATGTGCTAAGTCTCTCTCTTCAAATGTATGGATGTCGAGTGATTCAAAAAGCGATCGAGACTTGCAAGGAAAATCTGCAAATGGAGATTATTGGTGAAATCATCGAACATGTTCGTTTTCTAAATCAATTAGTTTTATTGTTTAAATGGATATTGATTTGTTTATATGCTTGCTTTTTAGGTTCTTCGGTGCATTCAAGATCAAAATGGAAATCATGTTATGCAAAAGATTATTGAATGTGTGAAACCGGCCAAAAAGCTTCAATTCATTGTCAATGCTATTATAAATGAGCGAGAGAACCGAGTGATAGAATTGGCAAAGCACATGTATGTCAAGATGTTTGATTTCTTAATTTTTTCTATTTACAGGTATGGTTGTCGAGTTATTCAACGGGTTTTGGAACATTGCTCACCAGAACAAAAGATGCCAATTATTAAGACAATCTATCGCGACATTGGAATTTTGGTAGTAATATACAACCTAGCCACATGTGTACCTCTTATTTTTCAGATGAACGATCAATATGGCAACTATGTAATACAGCACCTTGTCGAATACGGCACCGATGACGATCGAGAGATCATTATATCTTCGGTATGTTTTGTGTGTTCTGCAACTATAAAAAGTACTTAAGATTGTTGGAAAAGTTTTCACCTTATCACAGCACAAGTTCTCATCAAATGTTATCGAACGGATACTTCAATTTGCAAACACAGAGCACAAGAATCGCCTCATTTCGGAAGTGTGCATGAGTGATCCCAATGAGTAAGTGTTTTCTTTTGTGTTTGGATTATCTTTAAGTTTTAGCGCAAATCCACCTTTGATGGTCATGATGAAAGATCAGTTTGCCAACTACGTTGTGCAAAAAATGCTGGAAGTAGCTGACAATGTTCACAGGTATAGTACGTTCAATTTTTTATTTAAAAGCTTTCTTTAGAAAGAAAATGTTGAACTCCATCAAACCGCACATGCCACAATTGCGGAAAGTAAATTATGGAAAACAGCTTATTGGTTAGTTTTTTCTCCTTATCAATTTCAATATGTGAATTATAGCCAAGCTCGAGAAATATTTTCGGGAAAAATCAAGCTATATGAATGGATTTGACGCACCTCCACCAGCATCACATGTTCAACATCACATGGCGTTTTAAAGAAGCAGAAGTTAAGTTTTTTTTATGCTAAAGAGTAGCTTTGCTTTGTTAAGTTTTAGTTGATTTTTAGGAATCTTTTTCATTAGGTTTTCTATCATTTATTTTACCATTAAATTTTTTGATGTTTTAATGGGTTTTTGCCATTAAATTCCGATCGTTTGCTGTATAACCTGCGCTCATTCTCCACAAACTTTTGTATATAAGTTTATAAATTTGGTCATGTTGTTAAAGTTGGTCTAAATTTTGTACATTATGTAAAGCTATGACCCTATCTATATCCCGTTGTTAACTTTGTTATTATTGTTATGTATAAATTTGCGAATACAGAAATCCCCTTATAGCACCCAGATATTCGTTTTACTAGTTTCAGGTTTGCGCTTGAGAACTTTTAGATTTAGTGTCTTTTTTTTCCTCCTCTTGTAGGCTTTGATGATTTTTGATATGGGAATTCCTCGTTAATTTGTATTGCACAAATCTCAAATATTGCCCAATTGTTTAACGTTTGTTGTCAAGCAAATAATTTGTTATCTCACGCAAATGTTTATTTCTTTATAGTTATCTTGATAAAAATTTTATACATCTTTGAATCTTGAAGTGGAAAACAAGAAAACAGGAAGTGGAAAATTCATAAAATATTTCAAACCATTGAATAAATAATACAAAAAAGAAACAAGTAAGTGCCTATTAGAGGTGAATTCCCGTGTGGTGTGAACAGAGAAAATTGAAAAAAAAATCACAATTGTGTACATTTGAAATTGAAAAAACGAGTTTATCTTTTTGATCATCATCTTTTTTGATCAACCATCGCACATTTCCGCTAAACAACAACCCGCACAACAGGCTGCAAAATTTGCATGTTAATTGACTTGTTTAACTAGAGTGCGACTAAATAAATGATATGACTAGATTACAGGTATTTTCAAGATCGAAACACATCCTTTCTCGCATACTCAATCCTTCATTTTTCTCACTGTATGATTCATTATCAATTAATAATAAGGAACTGAGTGTGCCGGACAGTGTGTGTTTATGATTAGAAAACCCTTCACTTTCGATTTCCTCTCACCTAACAAAGCCATACAACAACAATTTGAGCTGCTCGAGTTATTCTGTCGTTCGACCATTCTAAAAACTCTCCACTGAAGAGTTTCCCAATGCTTGCATCACTTACACAACTTGTGGTTGTGGTTGTTGATAGTATCCTTGTTGTGGATATCCCTGTGGAGGATATCCACCACCACCGTATCCTTGATTTGCATACGCTGGATACGATCCTCCACCCGCATAGCCGGGGGGGCCGGGATTGAAGCCGGATTGAGCTGGATAAGGAGGCTGAAAAGGTAAGAAAACTACCGTATTCTTGGAACAGTTCCACCCCTAATGCTATCCATTATTCTATTCAAAGTGAATATTCAATATCATGAATGTAAATGAGTTTTATTGTCATTTTGTTCATGAAATCTTACCGGATACATTCCTGGTTGCTGTGAATAGGCCATTCGCGTTAATTGATAGAAGATCTGAAATGTACCCAAAATGTCTTTATTTTACCGGAAATCCAAAATAATAAATCAAGGCTTTTCAAGCGAAAAAACAATTAAATTTGTTCTTTTTGTGTCACTGGAAGGGGAATGATTGTTCCCATGGACACCCAATGAAAACAAACGAAAAGGGAAATTGATGAAATCTCTTCATACTAATTATTTTAAGCACAAAGTTGAGAGAAACAAAGATAGAATGTTTTGAAAGAAAGGTTCTTATCAAAAAAAGAAATGTCTACAATCGGCAACTCTATCCATTGCTTTCCCTTGAAGAACTGGCAGCGAGTGATAATAAAAACCGAAAGGATCAAATTCTGGAGTGAATATGAACACCTTTATTTCTTTGTAGAAACTTGTTACTATCAAAACTGTAAGTGTTATCTGGTGAGCTAATACTTATGAAAAAGTATACTCTAAATTCAATGTGCGAACTTTTCTCGAACACCGGCTTGGGGGTAGCCGCTCAAATCTAAAGCATCCTCTAACTACCGTAATCTCTAATTCGTACTACTGTAATGCGTTACGATAACTATAGTACAGGCAATCCCCCACCCACCCAATTTGCCGATTTGCCGCACTATAACAATGTGAAGAATTAGGCTAAATATGTGATTGCTGTAGTGAGGATACACTTTAAAGCTGATACCTCGTGTTCGAAAAAGTTTGGCACGGAAATTTGCCTTGATTTACCTTGATTTAGTTAATATAGACAAATACAATAAAAATGGTGGTTTAAAAAAAGAAGTAAATGAAGAACTAAAATTTGTTTAAAACAATCTCTTTCCATTTTTCACCATTCAAACTGCAGCTGCGTGAATTTTTCAACAAGTGACGCCAGGCAACCAACATCAGTTTCCCTTCAACTCTTCACACCAAAGAAGAACCCCAAAAAACACAAAATTTGAAGTGAAATGAACAAGAAAGGATAGGAAATTAAGTTTTGGGTTTAGTTATAAAATCATGACAAAAAAATTCATGTGGTAATGGTTGGGAAAAAACAAAAAAGAGCTTGATGATCGATAAATTGAGCACAGGGGAAACAAGTGGAGAATTTGGGGAATCGATGGAAGAGAATTATATGAATTGAGAGAGAAAGGGCAGTATAAAAAGGAACGGAGAGGAGAAATTGGACGATGTGGTGGAAAAGGGGGGTAGAAGCAGGCTTGTATACGGCAAAAAAGGACTAAATTTCTATTTTCTGGCAAATCTAAACAAAAATTTACTAGGTATTACTTGTAAACTGTGTTTTTTTTTAAAAAAATAGCTTTACTTTTGAATACAAAAGAAAAGAAGCCATTGGTCCGTTTTTCGACCTGATCCCTCTCTCTCCTCTTTCACCCGAACATTCCCCTCACGAGTCCATACGTAAGCATTGTGTCGATTGTGAAATGTGTATCTCAAATTACTCCCATTCCATTTTTAGAGCATAATTGAATCGTTTATTTTTATACTCTTTAGCCTTTCGTAAAGCTGAAATTCTTAAACAAATGGTAGAGATAAAATTGAAATTAAAAAACCAAAATTTCCAGTGAATTTCCAATTAAGGTTCCTCAATTTTTATTTTGAAAAACTAAGAAATTTTCAATCTCTAATAGAGATAAAAGCAGGTTGGTGGTAGGTACTGTTGATCCCCAAATCTTTGGGATTTGGGCTTAGGCTTAGGCTTAGGCTTAGGCTTGGACTTAGTGCGTAGGCTAGCGGCTAGCGCCTAGCAATAAGTCTATTTGGGTTTGGGCTATACCCCCAATTTCCGGATCTCAGCCAGTTCTCGGATTAGGCTTAGGCTTAGGCTTAGGCTTAGGAGACCAACAGTCTCCAAATCTTTGGGATTTGGGGACTGTTGGTCCCCAAATCCGAAAGTTTAACAAAATCTATTGGATTGGATTCGTTTTTGAAGAGAAAGGTGATCATAATTTCGAACTCTGAAATTCGCTTTCATTCGTTTGTCTGCTTGATCGAGCATCACAGAAAAGGCCTTTTGAAAGACATACACTACTGGACAATGAAATATCATATTTGAAAAAAGATCGTCACTTTCGCGCGTCTGTAACTCCCTTGTCTTTACCATATTTCTAAATATTAATATTACCATTGTGTAGCCCTTGAAAAGAGCTTTCCGAAAATGTTTAACACTAATAGTTTAAACTCAAAGACAAGGGGAGTTACAGACGCGCGAAAGTGACGATCGTTTTTCAAATATGATATTTCATTGTCCAGTAGTGTAGTTCTTGCTAAATTCAAATTTCAAGAGAAATACCTGTTTTTCATTTCAGACAACTCAAAAAGAGTTACAAATACCTTGTTGACGAGCTTGGGGCAATTGATTTCAAGAAATTTCAACGTGTCGCCTACAGTAGTCGAGAAAATGCATTCGCTGTAGAAGCGATTTTTCTAAAAGCGTTTCGTTTCTCTAAAAGCCTAAACGAGCCATCAACCTTTTCCCCTGCAAATGTATAACACTAAACTCAAAGACAAGGGGAGTTAAAGACGCGCGAAAGTGACGATCGTTTTTCAAATATGATATTTCATTGTCCAGTACTGTACATATTGACAAAAAGAATTTATAAAATCAAAAGAAATCATAAAGTAAAGTTTAGAAAAAATAGAATCTGTCGACAGAAAAAATAGAAATTTTTGAAAAACGATCGTCACTTTCGCGCGTCTGTAACTCCCCTTGTCTTTGAGTTTAAACTATTAGTGTTATACATTTTCTGAAAGCTCTTTTCAAGGGCTACACAATGGTCTCTTCGATTTCATTCTAACTTTTCGAGTTTTTTCATTGTGAAATTCAAATCAAAAATATTCATTCAGATTCACCATTCAGATTTCAAAATCTGAAACGTTTCTTTCTTGAAGTTAATTGAAAAAAAGAACGACGTAATGAAATCCGCTTTTCTTTTTCGCTTTTTTTTCGCCTTTTTCATTCTTTAAGATCTCCCCGTGAATTGGGTTCATTTTTGTGTTTGTGAATCGACAAAACATTCATTCTATTCTTACTTTTATATAATACTTCTTTTATTAAAAGTAATTTTTAGTCAAAAATTATATGTTTAGATAAAAGATGTGATTATCATTGTGAAATTTCCTTTTCTCTTCTCAAAGATGTCTTGTTGTCGATCATCGCTTGGGTTTGCTTTAGTTTTTGAATTGATCTTTGCAAAAACGATCATTTATGGCGATCGTTGAAAGAGTTTACAAAAGTGCTTGGGATTGTCCTGAACACACTGTACTGGGTGTATAAAAGTTAAAAAAGAAAGCATACTCTCCATCTGGTGTACTGATTCTTTTTTTCTCATAACACAATCTTTCTCATGAATTTTTTGTCTAATTTGTGTCTAATTTTTTTTTCTTTGAGCATTTTCTTTGGGCTCATTCATTTCTTTAGAACAAATAGATACCGTATATACTGTAATAGTACCCCACCCCCATAATGACGGTGCGGAGCGTTGCGTAGTCTAGCATTGGACGCGTTTTTCTCGACACTGGTTTATGCTACAATGCGCGCTTAGGTATCAAAAAATAGCTGAAATTCAGGGCTATTTTTTGATACCAAAGACGCTTTTTTTGAAAGTACGTGTGCTTTGAAAAAAATGAAATACTAAAAAACTTTTGCGACTACGCGACTGTACGAGGGGGGTGGGGTAGTATTACAGTATTTACGGTATGTAAATCGTAAAAAATAGAATTCATTTATTTTCCTAAGCCTAACAATATTGTAAGATCGAATTTGAATATTTTAATAAGAATATTGTAAGATTTCAACATTTGACCCAAAGTTTTGACCTAAAAACAGCTGTATTCCTGTGAAAGAAAGCCAAGAAAGATTCGGCTAATATCTGTCTTTTCGGGAAGAAAAGAAAGGCGATAGGTCAATCGATTTTCTCCCCAAAAAATATTCCCAAAAGCGCCGCGAAGATCTCCTTATATTATCTGATCTGATTGATTTAATTTTGTAAATTCTACGAAAAGAATGCAATTGTTCTCCTTTTTCAACTCATTTCTTTCGCTATTGATAGTTTTGAGGTGAGATTTGTGGAAAAGAAAAGAAAAGAAAAAAGAGAAAAGTTGAACAAATATTGAATGAACTTTCCTCTTTTTTTTCTTCTATCTTGTACTACATTTTTTGTGTATTTATTCTTTCGAAAAAACCCTCTTAAAGAAAAATCTTCATGTTTTAACGTGAAAAGTCTAGCTTTAAAATGGCACCAATGTCTTTGATGTGGTGGGTTTTGGTATAAAATCTTCAAAAATTCTCTCTAAAATCTATCCAAAATTTCATAGAAATTGTTATTTGAAAAGTTTTGTATGAAAAATCACCCCATCTCCTCCTCATTTTTTTCAGTCTTTTAGATAAAATCTTTGTGTCAAAACAAATTTGTCCGTAAAAGTAAAGTGTGAGAAATTGGATGGATTTTGGAAAGATGTTGGAAAGATGTTGGAAAGATGATGGAAAGATGTTGGAAAGATGATGGAAAGATGTTGGAAAGATGATTTTGGAAAAAGTTCAGACTTATAAAGATGGGTTTTCTGGACACAAAACACAGATTTACTTGTTTCTTTTTATTTTTCTTTTGATAAATCTCATTCAGTGTCTCTGGCAGTGAAGACGAAGAAGAAGCGATGAATGCACACAAAACAATCTATGAATTTGTGGTCAAAGATGCTGATGGAAACGAGGTTTCTATGGAGAAATACAGGTTTCATTTAGAAAAGGCAATTTGTAAAAAAAAAACTCGAAATAGCTCATCGCAAGAAATCATTGTCATCTGATAATGATGAAAGTTTATAAAACCATGAACCAATCCCAAGTACAGAGTCATACCAAGTACAGAGTAGAGTAAAACCTATCTCCTTTCGAAAGCTACCGTAAACTTGGCTCTAATTTTATCCAATCTTTTCTAAGTTTTATGAGAAAGCGCAAAGAATACCGAAAGATACAAAAAAATAGATAGTTTGGATAAAAGATAAAGTGAAAATTACGATAGTTCTCATATGTGAATTTTGTAATTGTTTCTTTAGTCGGTTCATAATTCATGCGTAATGCATTGTGAATTGACTAAAGAAAAACATGTCAATGTAGTTTCAATGTAATATTGAAACTACATTGACATGTTTTTCTTTAGTCAATTCACAATTCGTCCATTACATTGAAACTACATTGACATATTTTAGAATCCGTATTCCTATCCTCTACTCTTTCCCTTTAAAACCATAAATCAAAATGTATTCTTTTCAAAGTTCAATTCTTACTTTTTCAGAGGTCAAGTGTTGATTGTTGTCAATGTTGCAAGTAAGTTTCCCCCTTTCATTTCTTTTCACTCAAAATTTAGGCAAATGTGGTTTCACTCACTCGAATTACAAACAGTTAAAGGTAAAGGAAATCTGCAAATTCGATTATTTTAAATTATTTAGCAACTCTCTGATAACTATTATGATATGGGACTCCGGGTGGCTGCTTTTCCGTGTAATCAATTTGGAGGACAAGAACCGGGATGTGAAGTGAGGGGAATACTGTATTTTCTCTAATAGTAGTGCACCCTGAGCGTCGCCTAAATTCCTCGAAATCTCGAGAACCGCTTATCAGAACCTATCGATGTGGGGTCGGAAAATGTAGCTGACGATGAGATCTAGTGGAGGATTAGAGGGTTGAGCTTCTGTGAAAGCTTAGAAACCGTAAAATAGTCACCGACTCGGCTCGCCGGGGTGCACTATTATTAGAGAAAATACGGTAACTAAAGGGTTTTCTAAAAGGTATCAACTTACCGTAATCTTTAATCAGGTTTAATCCAATCTATCTACCTTCTCAGTCCAGAATCAAAATTAAAAGTAAATTAACAGGATAAAATGAAAGCCAAGATTACGGTAGCTTTCACAAGTTGCCACCTTTTAGTGGCACATTTACACTCATTTCAACATAATATATTTCAAATTTAATTTCCAGTTGGATGTGCGAATGTTCGTCAAGGACACCTATGAGTATGAGCCCGATTTGTACGCGAAAATCAATGTGAATGGGCAACAAGCCGATCCATTGTATACTTATCTCAAAAAAGAACAAGGAGGGACGTTGATTGGTGAGGAAAAGTAGAGAGTATGTGCAGTGCGTGAGAGGGGTACCGATGGGGCAACCATTATTCTCATATTTTATTCCGAATCTAGCACAATCACTAATCTAGCGAGAAAATACAATAAATAGAAGCAATTGTTGGTTCAGTGTTTCAAAGCCAGAGAAGAAGAAGAAGAAGAAGCAGAAAAAGAAGAAGAAGCAGAAGAAGAAGACGAAGAAGAAAAAGAAGAAGAAGAAAAAGAAGAAGAAGAAGTAGAAAAAGAATACAATGTGGGCTCCGTCCCTTTTTATCACACAAAAGATCTTTAGAGGAAGGAGAATCAGAGATATTCAAAATCAAAGCATCAAATAAGATTTCACAGAAAAGAACTACTTTTCTGCACAGAGTGCAATGAAGATGAAATACTTTTTGGCATTTAACTTGTAACTTGTAACTTCTAAACTATGTAGACTGTAGACTTAAATGCATTTAATAGCATTTAGTACCTAAATACCTAAATGCTAATTTGCAAATACCATTTAAGCTATGGTTTTGGAATAAAGAAATCGAATTTTAACTTAAACTACGTAGAATAGGAGTTATTAATATAAAATTGTTAGATCTTATATTTCATTGGAAAGAATCATAAAGCATCACTCTTTTCAGATGCAATCAAATGGAATTTCACTAAATTTCTCATCAATCGACGGGGTCAAGTTGTGAAAAGGTGAGAAGAAAGGATTTTGAAAAGTTGAAAAATTAACAATTCAAATTCTAAAATTCTCTACAAAACTACTATATCTATCATTAAAATTCTTTTCATTTCAACTCCTCGATTTTCTTTTCTAGATACGCTCCAACGACGGAACCCTCAAAAATGGAAGCTGACATTGAAAAACTCTTGAGTGAGAGTGAAAATTTGTGATATTTCGGCAATGATCTTTTTTTGTTTTTAAAAATAAATCACATAATTTATTCATTGAATGTTTTCACCATCTCAAAGGAAATTCGATGCTCAAAGACGAATGGTTATTAATAATACTACTTATAATAAACAGCTTTTACACTATAAAGTACTAACTTACTAACAATGATTAGAGATTCGATTTACAAGATCCCACCTTGATATGTTTCTTCACTGTTGATTTCTTTGAGTGACGTCAAGCTGAAGCCGCTAATCTTCAACTACCATCGATCCTTCGAACCAGTTTCCCACATCTCTTTCAATTTCATATCTTCTCTAACTTTCATCTTCTCATCCGACAATGAGAAAAATGCCAAAAAGAGGACCCCGAAAGAAATGTAGAAATGAAAACAAAGAAAAATGGGCTCTTGGCTGAAATCCCGGCATTTTTTTATTTTTTATTTTAACATTAACCTAAACATAAACCAGTACATTAGTAAATAGAACAATAACCCACATTACAGAAAAATGCAAAAAAAAGTCAGTACTTGCATATACCCAATTATATAAATAACATAAAGGAGGAATAACACCTCCATAACAATGCGGATTTATCAACGGTCACTTGGCATCTTTTATCGAATACGGGTAAACGATTAAATGAGTCTGGCACGCAGACGAGAAGCAACTGGTCCAGCTTTTTCTCTACTCTCAACATCGTTAGCCGAATGCTCTGTTTGAGTATCATAGAACATCTCACCATCAGCAGGCTCACCATCTTCATCATCATCAATGACAGCCAAGAGATCCATGTCAAGATCAGAAACTGAGCTCACACCCCTTGCGATAGAAGTTGCATGACCAGTCTTTCATCTGTCCACTATCGTTGTGTTTATATTTGAGAACGAATCTCATAACTGAGCCAAAGCCAGAAGAAAATGGCTAAAGATTAGTTTGAACGCAAACGCAATTAAAGATTGGTTTGAAAAGAGAAAATTTTAAAAATGAAATACGTAAAGAATCGATTCGATTAGATTTCTTTCTCTTGAGCTTTGATGAAGAACTCAAGCTGCTCTCAGACTGGATTGATCTTTCGGGAACCTAGAAATTTTAAACCCCAATCTCAGTTGACTTTGTCTATGTTGATAAGTGTGTTTCTCTCGAGTAATGCACTTTCTAAAAGGCACCTATTTTAGACAAACTACCATAGTCGAACCGTTAGTTTTCATTCGATCAGCCCAATTTGGTCATATGTCGACGAAGAATCAGAAGGCTCCGTTAATGATACCAAAATTTGTGGCTGATCAAATGAAAACTGACGGTTTAGCTCAAAGAACCATTTATTTATTTATTCAATCAAGTGGGGAAATTCAAAAGATCGCCTTGATTGCAAAGAGCGATTCGACATTGAGAAAAATATACGTTAGCAAAATTTGTTTGTTGTATGTTGAAAATAGAATTGAGAAAAAAATGTATAAAGTTGGAGCGAGCGATCACTCAAAATTTGAGTGACGCTTTCAAATGACGTGTTTTCTAAAAGGTGTAAACTTTCGAGAACCATCGTAGTCTTGCCCTTGTCTCAGCCAGAGCTTCGGTTTCTATTGTAAACCCTCAATTGGAGCTAATTGTGGAATTCACAAAAGCTAAAGTTGCTCAAAATTTGCATACATGGCGCGAAACTGTCGGAAAAGAGCCAAATTTGCATTGATCGATCAAATAAAAGGAAATGGTTTGTGAGGAGAAATCATATCACCCATCTCACATACTCCTCTTCAATCATCAAAATGAACTTCCTCTTGGCGTTCATCCTTCTCGCCATCGTCGCTGCTCTCGTCTACGCTCACACGCAAGGACTTTTGTTGCCAACCATTCAGGTAAGCTTTTATTGATTTGTTATTTATTTTGTTCATTTGAACATTTCTGATAGTTGGTTGATTTGTTGTTGATAGTTTTTTTGCTTGATAGCCATTTTTTAACGTTCTTAACTTTTCCTATTCAGCGAATCCAAGACGTGATCCAGAAGTGCGTTGGTGGAGCCGCCGGCACTCAGCCATTGCAACCAGTCGGTCCCTCAAACAAACGGAAATAGGTAGAGAGTTTTTACAGCCTTTGGAATTTGCTAATGTTTCATTGTAATTGTTTCAACCACATTCTCTTCGTATTCAATTTCTTTCTTTTAGGCATCGATCGACGGTTTGACTGGCCTCTCTTCATGATCTCATTCCCGCGTTCAGTCTGGACTCTTCCTTCACAATGATTCGCCCATCTAAACTGACTATTCGTTTATTGCCTGACTCAATTGAATAAAAGTTAATAAAAATTGGATCGTGAGTTGAAAATAAAGTGTTTGCATGTAAATTTTTGGGCCTGACTGAATAAATGAAAACCAAAAAAAAAGAAGTAAATGGCGACAACACAAATTGTTTACTCGTAATGTTTCAATCAAAGATTTGCAAAATAAAACATGGACTCAATTTAACTTCAAGGAAATTTGACTATGAGAGTTTTTAGAGGGGAAAAGATACATTGGCTAAGCTTTTCAAAGTTGAATGGAGTCAAGAAAATGAGCATTTCATGCTTTAAGGACCAATTTGCACAATGGCACAACCAAATTTGAAAGAAAAACCCAAGAAATTGTCTAATTTGATGGTTTCCGAAAAGAGTTTTCCCGTATCTCGTATTGAATTCGATCTGAATTGAACGATCGACTCGCACTTCGATGAGATCTCCATTGCTGGAATTCGTTTATTGCTGTTTATTCAATTTTTGAACTTAAAACAAACCATTGCATAAAAATATGCAATACAAATGCACGTGATGAGAAGAAAAAGTTGAAGAAATGAGAGGAGAATCGTGAAAAAACACGAAAGATCACAATTGGATAGAGTTGAGGAAAGGGAAGAGGAGGGGGAAATCTGGAAATGGCATTTCTCGAGAAGGATTTGACAATTTGTTTTCTTTCTGAAAAGTGTCAGCTCTTGGCTTTCACCGTAATCTTGTCTCTAGTTTTCTTGGCTCTTAACTTTCTCGTAATCTTGTTCACTTTTGATCTGATTCTGCGAGATTTCAAAGGATATTAAAGGTAAAAAAAGTGGAGAGATTGGATAAAAATAGAGCCAGAAAAAGTTGATATTTTTTAGAAAACCTAGAAACTTTGATTTCTTTCATTACCTCTTCAACATCAATTTCCGATTTGTTTTCTTTTGCCGTTCCATTTCCCATCAAAATTCGCATTCGACCACCACTTATCTAAAGTGATTTCACTATAAAATGAACCTACCGTAAATACTGTAATAGTACGCCACCCCCCTCGTACAGTCGCGTAGTCGCAAAAGTTTTTTAGTATTTCATTTGTTTCAAAGCGCCTGTACTTTCAAAAAATGCGTCTTTGGTATCAAAAAATAGCCCTGAAATTCAGGGCTATTTTTTGATACCTAAGCGCGCATTGTAGCATAAACCAGTGTCGAGAAAAACTCGTTCAAAGCTAGACTACGCAACACTCCGCACCGTCATTATGGGGGTGGGGTCACTATTACAGTATTTACGGTAGGTAGATTGGCGAAAAGTAAGCCAAAGAGCTTGTGCTTGTAAGCGCATAAAGTACATACCGTAAATACTGTAATAGTACCCCACCCCCCTCGTACAGTCGCGTAGTCGCAAAAGTTTTTTAGTATTTCATTTTTTGCAAAGCACTTTCAAAAACTTTCAACTTTACTTTCAAAAAATGCGTCTTTGGTATCAAAAAATAGCCCTGAATTTCAGCTATTTTTTGATACCTAAGCGCGCATTGTAGCATAAACCAGTGTCGAGAAAAACGCGTCCAAAGCTAGACTACGCAACGCTCCGCACCGTCATTATGGGCGTGGGGTACTATTACAGTATTTACGGTAGCTTCTACTTGGCCTTTGAACTACCTGGCTACCGGTCATAAACAAGTAAGTATTGATTGATTAAACACACTTAAACAAACCCTGTAAACATCTTGATATAGCTGAACATTCCTTCCATTCAATGTCAATGACCTTCTCCTTCGTTGCCTTGATAGTTGACTGAAAATCATACTCGATAATCTCCTTTTTGTCCACTCACCCAATATCTTCTATGAGTAGATCTTTATTACATTCCGGCATACAATTAATTGAACATGTTTCCACAAGAGAACTATATGAGATATCTGTCTGAAAATGGATGGTAAAAGTGCAGAATTCTTCATGAACCTCTTCATCAAATCGATCAAAATCCAATTTGATCACGAGTCGATTCGGGGATTTTCTCGACATCGATTTGATCATTTCTCGATCGGAGACACATCTGAAACAAAAATTAAGCAAAAAAAAGAGATTTATAAAAGATTGTTAGCCATAACACCTCTATTAGACTTTGTTAGACAAATGTTAGAGGCTGTAAACCAAGTCTGACCGACCCAGGCCAAAGCCAAGCCCAGCAAGACCAAGAAAGAGCCTGACTTGACCGAAGATCGGGAATTTTGATTGAAAACATGTGCCCAAGAGCTGAATATTCAAACGAACCCATTCTCATCAATGAGAATTTTCGGCTTTATTTGCCCTCCTCGATGTAAAATGAGATTTCTGACGGTGAACTCTTGATTGATCTCGTTTGTTTTGTCATCAATTTCGATAATGATTTCCCCCTTTTCTTTTCTCTCGATCAAATCGCTTTCAACGCCATTCTTCTCAAAGTGGAGGCTGAAAAAAATGGGATGTTTTTGAAGGAATAACGAATTAAAAACTATTGTACCCACTTGAACTTTGATTTTGAAGTGGCTTTGATTGGGACACGAAGGGATCCGGTCGGTACAATGAGACCATTTCTTCTGAAAATGACCGTATTAAAAAGAATACATTCATTCACACAAATGTAATTAATGTGGTTCAAAAAATACACAAGCACAACTCCAAAGTCATAAATATAGGGCAAAAAGAACCAATAATCTAGCCAGGATTGAACAATTGAAGTCCCGATTAAGAAACAGGCCTCTTAGCCAGTCGGCCATCGTGGTTAATAACTCACAAAGTTGTCTCATTTCCAGCTGAGACTTTCATATGAACAGCCACTGTTTGATCGAGAATCGGCTCGCCTTGGGTGTGAATACGGCAATGAACCTAACAAGTGTAGCAAAGTGAACAAGAAATTGTAGGCTAAGCCTATTTTACAATTTAAACAATTCTAAATTTGTTTACCTGGATTGTTTTATCTCGAATGGTGATCAATTGTGTGCTTCCCTCTTTCAAGTAAATGATTCCCGAATAGGAACGAGATGGGAACGCTTTCTCCGTCATTCCACATCTAAATAAAATGTGAATTTTGGAAATCTTCTTTTCCCAACTTACTTCTCATATGGTAAATCAAGATGAAAAGCATAATTTGGATTGATTTTTCTTTCGCATAGAATCTCCTTTGATCTTTTCGTTCTCAATTCTCCACCAAAAAGTTTCATCGATGTCGCGTGTAATTCCATTGATTCGGGTTTACATTTCAGTGTGACTAAAAGCAGAAACAATACAATTTCTAAAATATGACAACATTCGAAAAGGTACCGTGATCTTGGCTCTACTTTTATTCAAGCTTTTTACATCAAAATCAGTAGTGAATAGACTGAACAAAAGTAGAGCTCAGATTACAGAGCTTTTTGAATGTTGCCATGTTTTAGACAAACGATAAATGTATTCGGGAAATCTTTCAATCACAAATCTCATCACTTACATTGTGTACAATCATCCAATTCGCCCATTATCAAATTGCTTTTGATCATCTCTCCATGCAATCCATTTCTTCCCAATTCTCTTCTCGTTGAATGCGATAAATAACATCTTTTCGTATCTCTATCATAAGTATACATTCGACATGTCCCTTTTTCTTCTTTTCTCTATATCAAATATGTATTTTCTTTCATATCATCACTCCAAAACCTCTAAACATCGATTTTCGCAAGCTTTTGCATCAACAATATTCAAGATTTTTTCATCAAAATGATCAGTGATTCCGGCTGAATGAAGAGCGAGAAATGAACATGTCGAAAGGGTTGAGGAAGCTGGAAAAGGAAGGAAATTGGATAGAATTGTAATAAAACAGTTCAAAGATCTTGTATCAACAGTTCAAGACAGTTCAAGATCTTGCGAACAGTTCAAGACTAAACCATACTTTAGACTGGTTTACTTTAGACATTTACCTTGTACACAATTGCTCTCATACAAATCCGTCTCCTCATCGAAATCGAAATAATGACGTGAATTGTGAACGGACTAAAGAAACAATGATAAAATTCACTCTTTTTACATCACTTGTAGAGATATCGAGGCGATTTGGCATTCTTTCAATTTCCCATTCCAAAATACGGCCATACAACTTTCGCTGAAATCGGTTTGCTTGTAAAAGTCCTTTTTTTTTATCTCAACTGTTTAACGCATTCATTTAAGCAATCATCGAATAGATTTCCTGTAAAAGATTTGAGAGAAAATCTTTTATCGATGAGTTTTCGATTCGGAAATCTCTCGAATGACCATCGTCTCTCGGGGCAATTTGTGGAGAAAGATTCTGAAAAAAGGAAAAGTTTGATGTTTGAAAAGCCAGATTTTCTCATCTTCCCTTTATTTCCCGAAACTACTTCAAATTACATACCTGAAATGCAAATTTTCCTTGCCGAATATATTCCATGTTCTTTAAGGGGAATCTCGGATTGTTTCGCGGTTTTCGATGAATCGACCAATAAACAATGAGTGAGATCAATTGAAGAAAGTAGAAAATTTGCGGCTGTACAAGATGGATTCTGAAGAAAGAGAGCATAGATAGATTCCTTTCACTGGAAATTACCTGTGAACAAATCTTTAAACAATCATCAAGATTCTCTGACGTATTGATCCCCAAAACGGATCCCGGGATTACGGTGGAACTTTCCAAAATGTAGGAATGATGGGAACAATCTGGAGTTGTCAAAAGTTTTAAAGTAAATATTAAATATTTACCTATTAATGAAAAGACTGCTTTGAGAGTTGAAAAATAATAAAGCAAACAAATGAACCTTTGTGAATGGCCATCATTGATCATATCTGAAAAGTAGATTGGTAAAGGGAAAAAAACGAAGGAAAATCAATAAGACAATGAGTAAAGAAAGGGATTATCAACTCTTGACCCATTAAACACTTTATGAAACAAACAAACAAACAAAGACCCATATGGGAGGAATGGTTGTTGACCCTTTCCTTCCCATTTCCCTTTTCTTTTCTCAAAACTTGCAAGAGGGTGTAAATGTGTTTGTAAATCTTCTTCCCATAATGTGGGAGAGCGGGATGGAGGCGGCAAGGTCTTTCAAATCCAACCACCCTTCTCGGCCAATCTCTTTTCCCATTTAGAGATCCTTTACCCTCTAATTCTCGACAGCCACAGATATTTTGAGTACCAAGCATCAAATCAGCTAACGGTTTCGTGATATCATACATACAAAAAAGAAATCGAGACGAGCCAGGGTTTAAACTCTAGAAAAAATCTGGAGTCGTCTTTTAGTTAGATGTATTTGCTTCTTTTGCTTGTTTGACTTGGCTCGGCTAACTTTCTTTCAGCGCTAATTGTAAAAATTCTAAATACGTTTGCCATTCTAAAAAATATCCCGAATAATGACTTGGGAAAGGATTGGATAAATTAGAAGCAGGATTGATAAGCTTACGGTGGCTTTAGAAAACTCGGAGATCTCAATAAATCAAAAGCAAGCATCCCAAAGCTGGTATCATTGAAATGACAAGTAAAACAAAAGCGCAGTTTTCCCATGGTGTGAACTCTTTTCTCTATGTAAATTACAGAGAATTGACCGAGTTTCCACTTGTTTCCCTACTTCAATCCCCCAATTTCACGTTTTCTCTTTTCCAAATCATCATTCTTCGCAGAAAAACATCTCTAAAACACCTTTTTTTACATACAAGGTCATCGGCTAAAGCTTTTAGAAGATAAATGAAAAAATGGGAACACAATATCTACGGAAAATTAAAAATGAACAGTAAAAACATGTGTATAGCAATGAAAACTGATATCTCTTTGTCCTTCCTGCAAAAGAAATATCCCTTTTCTGTCCCACTCTGATTAGATCTTATCGAAAGGACATTTACATATCGTGTGACACTTATTGTTAACAATTGCGATGCTCAATACGTATCTTTGATACAATTTGATATGCAAAGTGAGCTTATGTTAGTCATAGACTGAAATTAATCGATTTAACCTAATAGAGCCTTTGAACAAAAGTTGCATTCATGGGAAAAATTTGCACATCTTGCTTTGGACCAGGTAAACTAGGCCAGAAGCCAGGGTTTGATGTTTGTCTGGTTTGGCTTATATTAGAGATCCTAGAGGTCGGTAAAAAGATGCCAAAAGTACCATAATTGCATAGCGAATGAGATCTTAAACTGGATGGGATATATTGGGTTGTCCAGTTATGAATGCGCGTTTTTACTATTTTGTAAATTTCTCAAGGTATCGAGCAGATGTATATGAGTGTTATATATCATTCGAAAGCTGAAGATCTCCTCTACATTTTGGAATAAAAAGCTTTTGAATTTGTTCAACTTTTTGGGAATTTGACTGCACAAAGGGAGAGGTCGTTTTCGAAAAAACCATTCCAGCTTAGCTATTCCTCAAGTTTTATGGTGTAAAATCCGCAGAATCCGCATTCAAAAACGGACAACCCAATACTTATACTTTGTCGTAATATAAATATCTCCTTTCTGGATATGTTTTCTCACTTCAATTTTTGCTTTCTTATCGAAAAGAAGCATATAGAAGGTGTGAGCACAAAAAGCTATAAGAAAATCGAAGCCAAGTCAAATTATTGATATAAAACTAGAATAAGATTAAAAGATTTAAGGTAATAGTGAAATTATCCCTCAAGTGGTCAGTGAAACAAAGAAACAATGAAACAAACGATTGTGTGAGTGACTCTCACTCACACAAAACGGAATAAATGAGTATCCATTCAGGGGATTTCCCTCATTCTTGTTTTCCCTTCAATGTCTACCGGTCCTTTTTGTAGAAAAGAAAAGAGGAGATCAAAAAGAGAAATGGAAAAGAGGGAAAATGAGGTCAAGTCAAGTCAGAATCCAGAAAAAGGGGAAAAGGAGAATATGACAGACCAGAAAGGGAGATGAGGGAAAAGAAGAAAGGGAAACAGAAGGGAAATTCTAAATTGAAACTGAGAATGGCTGGGAAGAGATTAAACTTGAGTTTGCCAGGCTTTAATAGCCAGGTCAAAACAGGCTAGAGGTTGCTCAAACAGGTTGTTCTTAAACGATTCCTTATCGAACACTTTTGAGGTGACAAAAATTGAGCTCTTCTTCAAACTCTAACCTAACTCCAATAACAAGCTGCAGCTGTGGGAATAATTTTTGCCGAAAAAACTGAAGCTAACAGCTGGCACAAATGGTGGCACCAATTTTGGGTATTTGGAAGTGGTGGTGAGGGTAAATCGGTACCTATACACAGCCTCCCCCCAATTAGCCACCACCCACATCAATAGCCCACATAAACAACATAGATCATCTGCTGAAATCTCATCAATTTGGTCTAATGTTTGGGTAACTCATCTAGGTTTTCAAACCCCAAAATTTTTAATTCGTAACTTAGAAAAAGTCAGGTAAAACACGCCAAAAGAGCCAGATTATTAATTTTAAGAACATTGTTAAGTTTAAAATCAAATTTTTCTACTCAAATGGATAACGTGTCGCTAATGTGGATCTCTGGAAAAGAATTGAAACCAGATTGTGGAAAATGCGCGAGTTGTGTGTAAATGGAATGGGGAAAGGAGGAGAAGAAAGAGGTGGCACAGCAGCTGTGGTCATTATTCTCCCCATTCAGAACAGAGTTCATTTCATGTTGAATCAAAAGCGATTCTTACCTTGATTTATTTATTCTTCAGACGAATATGTTTAAAAGTTGACACGAAATTGGGCAAACTGAAGTTGAAAGACGACTACAGGCTCAACAATGACAAGCGATTGCTTATACAAGGCTTTAAATTATTCAAGAATTGATTTTAAACAAAAATAAAGTGATTGATTGACAAAAACGGATGAGAGGCTTATGTGATTGTTTGCTAAACAGCGAAAGGTCAATGTGAGGTCAATTATGAGACTTGCAATAAAACGAGACAGGGAAGAGATCAAGTGTCAATGATATGATGACTGATCAGAAGAGACCTTTCACAGAAATGTGCCCTGTTCGTTGCAGAACAAAAGAATCGGGATTTGATCTGAAAACATTATGATACAGAGGTCTTGCTTTATAACCAACTTGAACTCTTTCAGGACTCTCAGCGCAGGACATTCAATTTCTTCGTTTGCGAGGAATGTTGATCTAATGAATTAAATAGAAGTGAAAACTTTCCTCAATACCTATGGACCGTTGTCCCATCAAGTTGTTCTCGTCCCCATTCCAACTGATCTCTCGGTCTTACAACTGCATGTCGATCACCAGCTCCTCCTTGGAAAGCTTCTCTGAATGTTCTAGTAGGTGTCCACACAGTCCCATCACTCCTACCTGTTCACAGTTGTCCCATCGTGTTGTTCTCGTCCCCATTCTAGCTGATCTTTCGGTCTTACAACTGCATGTCGATCACCAGCTCCCCCTTGGAAAGCTTCTCTGAATCATTGTTGATTTCCAGTCAGCCCTATCACCCCTATCACTCCTACCTGTTCACAGTTGTCCCATCAAGTTGTTCTCGTCCCCATTCCAGCTGATCTTTCGGTCTTACAACTGCATGTCGATCACCAGCTCCTCCTTGGAAAGTTTCCCTGAATCATTGTTGATCTCCAGTCAGTCCTATCTAGACGTGGGCATCGGGTCGTTTTCGGGACAAATTTTATTTTTGACTAAAAACTGTCAACAGTTTTTCTAAGAAACGCTTTCTGCAAAAAAATTATCCACTTAAACATTATTGTTATTATTACATTATTGTATTTTAATGCAATGCAAATGTTCACTCAAACATAAGTATTCTAATGTTCACTTGAATACTTTAAGTTTTTTGAAAAGAAGCGAGTATACTTTTAAAGTACCCTCCTACAGTGTCCCACAAGTGTCACACGTGCGGGACACTATCCCACTAATGTTTTTTACTACTTTTATATATATCTTTTTTTTTTCAAAGGTAGTCTAATTTCTTTTTGTATTTTTAACTAGAAATATGCTATTGCATAGAAATAAAGCGGTTTCATCCCCAAATTGCGCGATTTTTCAACATTTTTGCACAGTCATGAAAGTGTTTTCCGCTTATTTTTTCAATGTTTCTTTGATTTTTACGTAATAATAATAATGTTTTTTTACTTACTTAGTACAAGTATTTTTCTGTTCAGATCGGCCACAAAGGAATTTTTTTTCGTTATTAACGTCAAAAACCACAAAAATAATTTTTAACTTCATTTGATCGTTTTACTTTTATGGCTAAATTTGACACAAAAAGTTTAGACTTTGATTTAGATGGGAAAAGGGCAAACTCCATCGGTGGCGCGGACACATTTCAAAGAAAAAGAAAACACCGTTTTTGTCAACACTGCAATCACAGCTTGAAAGTTGATCAGTCTCGATCTAGTCACAACATGCTCAAACATCTGATGAATCATCATAGTGATAAATTTGCGAATAAGGTTATTTTTTGAAACAAAATAATAATAATACTGTTTTTTGCAGGAAAGTGTGCCCGAAAAACTCCCGGAAAAAAGAATTTCTTCACTCCAAAATTATTACGCCCTGAACAAATTCGAGAATTGGATGTCGCGTGGGTTCTTGTTTTTGCTAGAAATAATATCCATAATTTTGGATGGACAAAATCAACCAACATACAGTGCGCGTCAAAATGATAGGTCCACCCGATTTCTCAAAAACCATCAAGCAAAAGGAAAATCCATATTTGCACATGAATTTTAATTTGATTCTTGATAAATATTCAAAAGTTGAAAAAAGTTTTTTATCGGTAAAATTTTTGAATATTTTTGAAAAACTCAAAAATTGAGGCAAAAAACCGCGTCAAAATGATAGGTCCACCACTTTATGCGCTTAATGCCTTG